CCTGATGGTTATAAAATGCTTTGAGGTCTTCAGTTGCAGAGGCAATTTACTTTCTGAATGCTATCATCCTGCAGCAGTTTAGATGTAAAATGAGATCCCATTTCTGGGCTTTCTGTTTTGTTTCCTCCTTCCCTTGTTGCATCCCTGCAGTTTAGAGGTGGAACTGGCCACTCAAAAAAGGTTTCAGCTGTAAGTGGTGCTAATGTGGCTAGAAATAGAAATCTGAAGATGTGTTTTCTTCTAGATGCTGCATTTCTGGCCCGAGAGAAGGCCAGGGCTGATGCTGAGTGCTACACTGCCATGAAGGTTGCTGAGGCTAACAAGGTACTGCTGTTGTTTATTTCCTTCCCTGGGCTTTGTAGCAGGTCTCCTGACCTCAGGCTGGCCAGAAACACTCAGCAAAAGAGCAGTCTGTGTTTATTGTTTGCTTCTTGTGTCTCATTGTTTGAGTCAAGAAGCAAAAGAAAGTTCTCTCTTCCTCTCAGGAAATTTTTCATCGAGACTGAAACAATTAGACCCCTATTTGCAAATTTATTTTTCTGTCTGGACAGATAGATTTATGTTGGGATACATGAAATACCTGCTTATCTCTGGAGACAGCTCTGCCAGGTGCTGGTGGCTCCCTCTGGAGATGGAACAGCAGTTTCAGTGGTGCCCTTTTTTGCTGACACCATCAGGAATGTCGATTCATTCCAGCCTGCAAGCAGTCAAAGCAGGGAGGTCTCCAGGGTGCCAGGAAGGTGTTCAGGTCAAGAACAACAGGAGCTGATCTTGCAGGTCACACTGCCAGGCCAGGAATAGTCTTGGGCCTGTAAAAGAAAAAAGGAATAAGAAATTAAAAAAAAAAAGGAAACTGAAACTATATGGATAGAACAGGCTTGTTGTTGCCTCCAGCAGGCTCCCTGGATATCCCAGCAGGAAGACTTTGTTTTGTAAGGGTCAGTGAGAATGGACAGAGGTCTGAGATGTTTATGCACAAGTTTTGCCCAGTTATTCTATCCTCTCTGTTCCAGTGTCATTATCCTGGACAGATGAGCTCTGCTGTGTGAATCAGACTCATCAATCTACTCAGGAAAAAAAGCCAGTTATATTTTTCTTTGCAGTAGCTTCCATTGCCAGGGCTTTCAATAAGTTATGTGCTTGTGAGCATCTCCATCTCTGGTATGTTTGGACTGAACATTTCCCTGGCTGCTTCCATCCCTGCCTGGTGTTGTGATTTAGTCACTGGGATGTAGAGTTTCACTGGGACATGCACAGAGAGCCTTCTCCTGGGTGCTGCATCTTTCAGCTGCAGAGAGGAGCAGCTTGTGGGAGAGCAAGGCCCTCGTGTGCTCTCAGATGAGCTCCTGACTGAATCTGAGCTGGTGGGTGATCTCTTTTCTTTCTGTGCAGCTGAAGTTGACTCCTGAGTACCTGCAGCTGATGAAATACAAGGCTATTGCAGCAAACAGCAAGATCTATTTTGGCAAAGATATTCCCAACATGTTTATGGACTATGCAGGAAGCCAGACCAAATTTGCAGAGGGACTAGCAGAAGGAATCCAAGAAGAGGAAGGGGGAGGAACCAGTGAGGACACAAAACTACTTCATAATGTCAACTGAAAAGATTTCTATTTGGCAGATATCAAAAGAAACATGAACTGGGAAGTTCCTTTTTTGCTTTCCCCATTTGTTCTACTGAAAGAGAGGAATCAGACTTAATACTTTCAATCTTTTGTATGACAATTAGACTCAAAGACTTTGTTATTTATGGGGTGTTTTTTTTCCAGTAACTTGTATGCAGCCCAGGTCGAGCAGGGAGAGGTTGAGCAGGAAGAAGTACATGGGGGTG